GGTGGTGCTGGCACTGGCTATGGACCAGGTGGAGTTGGACCCGGTGGTGCTGGCACTGGCTATGGACCTGGAGGTGAGCTGAAAAGCAAAAACACATTTAAATAAGGAGATATGCCTGATTACAAATAGATCAATTGGGGAATATAGGACCTAAAAAAATGAGTTGATGTGTTTGCAGGTTATGCTGGTGCCAAAGCCCGTAAATATGGTAAGAAAGAACTTTTTTTTAATCAAAAATGGACTAAATGTTTTATAATCTCTACAGTAAAACAGATTTTATAAAATTTGTATCAATAGACAAAAATGTAATATCCAACTGAGCCACTACACCTATGCAGCTGCTATCAATGATATTTGTAATTTAACATAAGCTTAAATCATCTCAATTGATCACATGTCAAGCTGTCTACCAAGGAAACATCTTTTTGTCAATATAGTGCTAACTGGTTAGTTTACGTCGTCTCACAAAATGCTGCTCTGTGCAGGTCTTCCTGGAGGTACTGGAGGTGCCCTGGGTGCAGGAGGACTTGGGGCTGGAGTTGGGCCTGGTTCAGGGCTCGGAGTAGGAGGAGGGTTTCCAGGAAGAGGTGCTGGAGTAACAACTGGTGGTGGACCTGGAGCAGGAGTGGGGGTGGCTGGGACACCTGGTTCTGGTATTGGAACAGGAGGTGGACCAGGCGGCTTTGGACCAGGCGGTGCTGGAGGTACGAGCACATCATTGTTACAGTTCCTTCAACTATAAAAAACAAAGCGAGACACAAAGACTGTTGAACATACTATGCACATGAATATGAGTAACTACCACATTATAGGAAAGTAACTAATTAATTGCTGATTCTTTAAATGTTTGATTCATGCTGTAATTGCTAATAGTAAATGATTGACTAGCAAAATTACAGGATTGGGCGCACCTATAGCTCACCTACTTGAGCAGTGACCCATAAACAGGGGCTATAGTCCCCGACGCAGCGGTCATGGGTTTGAGTCTCGCTCATGACCATTTGCTGCAGGTCTTCCCCCTACTCTTCTCCCCACTTTCCTGTCTCACTCTTCACTTCCACCTATAATAAAGGCTAAAAAGCTCAAACAAAAAAAATGTAAAAATCTTTTTAAAATTACTAGATCTAATGAATAGAGTTGGGTGTGTGCATATCAGATGTATTACTGAACCCACATGTATAGTATGTGTACTCCTTCCATGGCGTTCTTGTCTTTTAATTCTCTGGTGTTTCTCCCACAGGATATCCTGGTGGAGCCAAGTCTCTCAAATATGGTGCGATTTATACATTATTTTTGGAATAAAAAACATAATTCATGTTTTCAAGAAAATAGAAAAAGAAGAAAATATAGTGGGTATTGTTACGAAGGGGGGTGTTGTCAAAAGAAGGGGTCAAAACACTTCTTTTGTTTTGTTTTGTTTTTCTGAGTGACAGGGTAAGTCTAAATACATGTTGAGCCTTTATGAGAGACAAACTTGCACCTCCTTAGGGCTACCTGGTGGTGGCGGAGCCCCTGGATCTGGTCTGGATGGAAGATTTGGTGTCCCAGCAGCAGGTGGCTATGGCCCAGGGACCGGAGGAGCACTCGGCACTGGGAGAGGATATGGACCTGGTGGATATGGGCCTGGGCCTGGGACTGGTTACGGACCAGGTGGAGGTTATGGTGTAGGACCAGGTGCCGGATATGGAACAGGTTTAATTTTGTTTCACAGAAATTTTGCTTAAGATAAACGAAGCTAAACTCTGGCTTCCTAAGATCCCTAAATTAAACTATTTGTGCTATTAACAGGTTATGGAGCTGGATCAAAGCCTGCTAAATATGGTATGAAAATGCTCCTTTTTTGTTTCATAAAAACATGATGGATGTTGAATCCAAATTCCAGAAAAAGTAAAATGATCTTAATATGTTTTTGCTGAAGGTCCTGGTGGAGCAGGTGCTGGTGGGGTACTTGGAGGTGGAGCAGGACGAGGTGATAAGTTTTTTACTTGATGATGCTGAGCACTGCACATTGTGAACATAGTTGACGTTTTTGTATTTGTGGTGACATTGTTTCTGTTTGCCAGTATTTCTTTTCAGTGTTATAAATCTTTAACCATTGTTTGGAAAATTCTATATGAGTTGTTCGAACTACCTTTTATCTTGTACAACTGCATAGGTGGCTATGGACCAGGAGGCTTTGGAACTGGCACTGGAGGTTGGTTTTCAATAGTATCTGTGAGGTAACATGTTAAAGTCATGTTAAAAGCCTAAATTAAATGTGAGAATGATCTATTTCTTTATTCATCTCTATTGCCTGTTAGCTTAAATTGTAGCAAAATGAACTTTGAAACAAATAAACATGTTAACTACATGGTCAAAAAGAAAAAAAATGCAATAGAAAAGTACAGATAAATGGTTATATATCAAAATATGACGACAACAAAACAAAATCAGGATTTTTAAAACTTCTTTGTAAAGTTGGACATAAAAGATAGATAGATAGAAAAATATTCTATAAAATGTATATTGCAGTATGGTAAAATACTAGAAACTGTCACATTAACAGCTGTGAAACAAGCCCACTATCCAATATTTTAAAGTTTATACCCCAGAAGTTTTTTTCTTTTTTTTTCTTTTTGTTTCCATCAATCACAGAGTGAAAATGGTCATCAGAAATCTCAGTCAGGAAAAGTAATTTTGCAACTTGCTAACTCTACTGGCCACCTAAGTTGCTTTTTTCCTCTGATGAATGCCTTTCACTATGTTTTACAATCAATGGTTGTACAACGTCTTATTTGTTGTGATCCTCAGGCTATGGCACAGCTGGATCTAAAGCTGCTAAATACGGTAAGTTACAGTTTGACTAGACTCTACGTCAAACACAGAATGATGAGTACAGTTTATCAGAACCTCTTTCAGACTTACCAGATTGTTAGTATTGTTTTTATGACCTGTAGGGCAACCAGGTGGCGTTGTACCCGGGTCAGGAGCAGGGACTGGCACTGCAGGAGCAGGAACAGGGACTGGCGTTGGAGTGAATGACACCAGCACTGGTACTGGAGCACGTACGACAGCTAGACCCAGCGGTGAGCCTCTGTTTCAAGGGTTAAGAGTACATATTTTAGTTATTGACAATTATTAATTACATAATTTATGTATGATAATCCATTTTTGCTGGATCAGGAGGACCTGGAGCAACAGGAGGCACAGCGGCTCCAGCATCAGAAGGTATCTGTGCAAAGTTGCAGTACACAAGAATACATTTACGTATAGAGTTAGAGCAGAGTTTTTGGTATGTTTTTGTACATATGATATCGCGCTAACAAGGGTGAAGCGGTGACAACTGAAGCCAGGTGAGAAAATTCTGTTGGGAGCTATAACACATCCTGTCATTTTAAAATCTGATACTACTATGCTGGTTTTTCCCAGTTTCAATGATTTGAGTTTTAATGATATAACAGACCCTTTCCCCTCCTAACTTACAATATTGCTTTCTTGTCTCAGTCCTTTTAATACTGTCATTCCTCTAGGTGATGGTGGTGCTGGCAGTGTGATAGAAGGGTCTGGGAGTCCTGGAGGAGAAGGTGTGTGAGGCTTTCTGGATTCATGAGAACCTTTTTTATAGCTTGGAAGTATTCAAAGGCTGAGTGCAAATGAAATATGGCAACAATTACCATAAATATTCAGGTCAAATGATGTAATGGTCTTTTGTAAACAAAAGATGGCACACAGACTACGCTGCCAACACCTGTGTAAATTAAGGAAAAGCACATTACAAGTCAAAAATTCTCATATTTTTGCAATACTGCACTATATTTCTTTTAAAATGTGTCTACATATGATAATTTTCATATTAAAACAGGAGGTACTGGTGTAGCTGGCAGACCAGTGGGTGCGGGAGGTGAAGGAGATGGCCTGGGTGGAACAGGGATCCCCATTATTGGAGCAAAACCAGGTGTTTGATTCATTGATGCTACAGATTCAAAATACTGATATATAAGTGAGAGTTAAATTATTTGGCTACAGATTAAGTCAAATGTGTTTTGGAAATATCAGTATTAGTGAAAACTTTGATGCTGCCATCTCTGCTTTGTTGTTTTCCCACATTTATGTTTTTTAATTTTATTTTTCTTTTGTATAAAAACAGGACTCAATGGGACCACAGTTCCAGGTCAGATTCTGCATGTTTGTCTGGAAGCACTGCATGTTCGTGGATTTCTCTCAGAGTGCACTGTGTTATAACATAAGCCAAGGAAGCTATGTTTCTGTCCTTTCTTTCCTGTTAATGCCAGCCAGACAACCCTTATGCAAACTTCAGATGAATATGCTGCAAATCAAAGGAGCAGTGTTTCTTCGATTTTGGTGTGAACAATGCCACCATGTGGCCATTTATGAGGCACTGTACATTTTCACTTATGGTTGTTTGTGGAAGAAAATCCCCCAGAATCAACATATTGTCTCCTATTGATAGAAACCTTTTTGGTCAATTTCGGTTAATAATTGGTTCCATTATTCTTGCAAATTTCAGATTTAGATGATAAGTTGGGCTGCTAGGTGGCACGGTGGTTAGCACCATCACCTCACAGCTAGAAGGTCGCCGGTTCGTGTCCCGGTAGAACACCCGGGATCTTTCTGCATGGAATTTGCATGTTCTCCGTGTGTAGAGTTCTCCGGCTTCCTCCCACAGTCCAAAAACATGTTGAGGTTAACTGGTGATTCTAAATTGTCTGTAGGTGTGAATGTGAGTGTGCTTGGTTGTTTGTCTCTTAGTGTAGCCCTGTGATAGACTGGTGACCTGTCCAGGGTGTCCCCTGCCTTTGCCCTAAGTCAACTGGGATAGGCTCCAGCCCCCCCGTGACCCTAGTGACGATTGAGTGTATAGTTAATGGATAATGGATGGATGGATGATAAGTCTCAAAATGCATTTTGAAAATGTAGCAACTTGACATGAGAGTAAATGGTGATGCTAACTCAACTTGCAATAAAAGGGACCATATAAATACCTCTGTACTAGGAATGCAGTTTTAGTGCTGGTACCACAGATATATTTACTGAGTGCTCTGAAAATCAATAAATTCATATTAGAGCTAGAATTCTGATGACATTTGGCGCGATACTGAACCATGTTCTAACAGCAAAAGCATCCAACATCTACAAAGGATTAGCAAATTTACATTATTTTTTGTATTTGAAAGAATAAAACTGACAATTTTGTTTTCATACTCTACAGGTTCCACAGGAGCGTCTCCTGGTAAGTTGGTATGAAGTGTAATAAGACTGAGTTGCTACTTACGTGAGGTTAAGTTTGTTCTACACAGTAATTTGTAATTTTCAAAATTTGTCATGAGTATGGGTGATTTTCTTGCATGTACTACAGAACTGTCAAAGAACAATGCATGGCAGTGTCGCATTATTTAATGGCTAACACCTCAAACATAATAAAAGATAACTTTTAAAATGTGTTGCCAAACCCACTAAAACAATCTGTGTTTCTGTCATTACAGTTGGTGGCGGGGCTGTACAACCAAGTGGTATGTAAACCTTCAGAAACTGTTACAACAAAGTATACATACTGTTTGCAGTGTTTCACTAAACACTATCTGTGTTTTTGTTTCAAACAGCTGGGACAGGTGTTGGTAAGTCAGCTTATGTTGCTCACACAGTTTCAAATCCTGCATGAGGTATTAACAATTACTGCAGTCCCTGTGGTGTATATTTAACTGACTTGCGATTGTTACTCTGGTGTCTCTCATGAGTTTCTCTCCCTCTCCAACATTTAGGTGGTACAGGAGTTCCCCCTGGAGGTGAGATTTCCCACTTACAATGTCGTAGTCAGTTTCTGCATCCTTTCAGTAGAGATCTTGTGCCTGCAGTCGAGAAAAGTATTTCCTTATTTCACTTTCTGATTCTGATCTTACTTATATATACAGGCACTGGTGGTGATGTCTCAAGTGGGGCACTGCCTGGAGCCAAACCTCTCAAACCTCCAGGTGAATAAAGTAGGATAAAATGTTTTCTTTACTATGTACGACTCCAGTTTCAGGATAATCTACTTATTTTGCTTACATATTAATAAACAGAAGATTACTAATGGGAAATGACCTCCAAGGGCTAGCAATCAGGCTGGAGTCTATCCCAGCTGACTCAGGGTGAAGGCAGGGGACACCTTGGACAGGTCGCCAGTCTATCACAGGGCTACACTTAGAGACAGACAACCAAGCACACTCACATTCACATCTACGGACAATGTAGAACCACCGATTAATCTCAACATGTTTTTGGACTGTGTGGGAGGAAGCTGGAGAACCTGGAGAGAACCCACGCTGCATGGGGAGAACATGCAAACTCTATACAGAAAGATCTTGGGTGTCCTCACTGGGACGAGAACCGCTGTGAGGACGCTGCGAGGCAACGGTGCTAACCACCGTGCCACCTTGCAGCCCACAAGCTAAATATTAACCCATCAAAGTCTATTTTTGGAGAATTTTTCCCTTAAAAGACCAATCTGTCAAAATTTACACAGTCTGATGCCACTCATTATGTTTCAGAATA